TTTTTTTTAACTTGCCTCAGATGTGTTTTAACAATTGTAATAAATTCATATTTTAACTTTGGAACACAGTCTTTGTAATCTGTAGAAAGAGCCTAAGTGCCTTGTTTTGAGTTTTATTCTTGGGGTGGAAGTCCCAGGTGGCGTTGTTGAACCTTAAAAACTTTTCTAAAACTCTCCAAGTTGCCACAATCACATATAAATTGGACACAAAATCTTGTATCTAGAGTGTTTATTTTTCAAAGTCTACCGACCTCGACATAATCAAATGGGTATCAGCCTAATATTAAAATTCCCTTTATAGTTTTTTTTTGATTTACAAAACATGTTAAGAGTCTTAAAAGTTAAATTAAATTGAAAGTTAAAAATTAAAAGTTAATTAAATGAAACTTTTTGCGATAGGGTGACTAAAATAACCCTTGTTTGGAGGGGTCTTTTCCAGTTATTTTTACCTGAAGGGCAATTAAGCTTTATATTTTGGATACATGAAAGAATTTTAAAATTTACCTTGAGGTTTATCAGAAGAGTAGACTCCCATGTAGCCTGATGTGAGTTTTTTCTCTTGCAGGATCTGGGGGAGGATGGCATTAGAGCATGTTTCACTGGTGCAGTCCCTGCAGGTGGGCATGTTCACATCTGCACAAGAAAAATCCATGAAGACTTGAGTCAGCAATGTTTTGTTTTTCCTTCTTTTGCTGTAAAAATTCTTTTAATAGCTAAAGCATTTTAAAGTGCATCCCAAAGTTAATTGTATTGAAGAAAACAACATTTACTCTTTGATATGATCCAAGAACCCACAGAATGTACTGTCCGGTTATTTTTATTTAAATTTAAATTTACAAACTTTATTCATTTCTTTAAAAATAACAAAATTCATGTACTATTAAAACACAAATTCCAAATAAATGAAAGGCAGCAGAAAGAAGAAGAAAAATCTTATAGTATCTGCGCCTTTTTCTTCTCAAAAATACATTTTAAATAATAATAATCTACAAACMAAAACTAAACAAAAAACAACCTCAAATCCTTGTTGACAACATTTCAATTTTTTTTCTTTGTGAAGCAGTATAAAGACACATTTACCTGCCAGGTTTTCCAGAGGGAGATCTGGCCGGATGAGGTTGATATACGGCTCTGTG